TCATCCAATAAATAGTTTTTAAAAAAATTCAGGCCTTTTACCTTCTCCCCAATTAGGTAAGAACACAAAATCTTTTTATTAAAAAATGAGAATACACATGTTAGTAGAATGAAAATTAAAATCAGAAAGGAAAATATTTTCAAAATAAAAATAAATAAAATATAAGGATAAAAATTAATTGATAAAAGCTTTTACCTTCTTAGCAAAATAATGATGTTAGAATCATCAAGTAAATAGTTACAAATTTAATTCCAGATTTGTCACCTTCTTCCCAGTTAGGTAAGAACATGTTTTCCTTATTCTAATATGTTTTCCTACTTTTTTTCAACTCCACCGTCCTCTACTTCCTCTTCTTTCCTGTTTCTTTTTGCACTATAAAAATCTTTATTCTTTTAATGAAAAAATCATAACCCAAAAAAAACTTTACACAAATGTATCTGTCGTCAACTAATCACAAAATTAGACTTGGAAATGTCTTCAGGTTAATATATAAAGGCATCTCCTTTCCATATTTTCCTTTCTTCTATGCCTTCCATTTCAAATTGATTATCTCGTTTTGACTCGATAAGAAATTTAAGAAAGTTAATTTATTTTTTTAATTCTATAATCTTAAATTAAAGATATATATAATGTACCAAAAAGGGAAAGAGACATTTATTTTTTGAAATAGATTAAAAAAATAAAAGACAAACAGATTATAAGGAAGGAGTATAAGTTATTACATACCCTCACAGATAAAAAATTATGGTACAATAAAACAAAGCAATAACAAATAAGAAAATTATGCAAAAATCTATTGAATATTGTCATTCTTATTTTATTGCGTAAGCAGATGATTTGCGTCCGCTCTGAAAAAATGCTAGAACTTCCTGCACCAAATATTCACAAATAAGTAGCAGCTGCACCACCAATAAAATGACCTACTAAAGCATGTACTAAGAACACCTAAAAATTTATGCCTTTACACTTAAGTAGACAATATGCTCCATCATCCGTTCATGCTCCTAATCAAACCTCCAATACGATCATGAAAATCAAATGTCACGACATAAATAATTAAGAAATTTGAAAACTATTAGGTAAGAACACATATGTCTCTTTAAATAAGGAGTAATATTATGAATAAATAAGTAACCAATAAAATTATAATCCATCAATTACGGACCATAAAGCCAGGAAAAAAATTTATTGTAAAACTTAAAGGTAACAAAAGTTCAACGACCACGTTTGATTCTTGAAATGGAAGGTTCAAATTTTCTCCTTCATCAAATTCAAAGAAGTCATACCTTACAAAGATACACTTTTGCAGCATAACCGACAAATTCTTTTTGAAGCAATTCACATGATTTTTCTATGACCATTTCATCGAACATCAAAAGTAATTTTTTCCCACGATTTAACACCACTTGGATTCAATCAGTAATATGTTTGTAATAGTTGGGAAGATATGTGGTGATCATTTTAAATGACCACTTATAAACATATTTATACGGAGCAATGTAGAAAAATCATGAAATTACAAATCAAAATGAAATCCATACAATGAAAAACACATGTAATAAAGAGAAAATACATAAAGTCCACCCTGAACTAATACTCTTTTTGCAAAGAGACACTTAAACTTTGCGGGGGGTCCTAACACCCCCCTGAACAATTTGAAAGTAATAACATTGCCTCATTTTTTTATTAAACCCAGTTGTGAGAAAATATGTGATTTTCACACCCCAATCTCAAATTGCCACGTGTTAAATGTCATAAATTATAAAAAATAAATATGAAAAAGAATTTTCTTTATTATAAATAAAGTAACCCCCCCCCCCCACTCCAACACCTCTCCATTTCTATCTACCTCTCCCCTTTCCCTAACCTTCTTCATCAAATAAAAAAAAGACAATTAACTTCAATTATAAATGGTAAACAAACATCAATCTATTATTTTTATGCTATTATCATTGTAATTTTAAGAAAACAATCATCATTTTATTCTATTCCTCTATTTTTGGAACTATACAAATACTTCTATTAGTACCAAGAGGCGTTTCGTCTCAGATGGTTGAAGCAACCATGGCTAACCACCATTAATCTGTCATTATCGCCAGAAAATGCTTTTTTCGTCAGATAAAATGGTGACTAACAATGACCTTCTTTCTCTTCATTTTTTCTTTTCACTTTTGTTATCTTTTCATCATCTCCGTCAAAAATATCAAATATCGACGATGATAAATTGTACCATCGCAATGACGAAAAAGATAGGAGAAGCAAATGACGAGTCCAAAATTGAGGATGACTTAACGGAGTACTCGTCTTGTGACAGTGAATCAAACTTTGAGAAATACTAAAGTGCTAGCTCGGCCATAGACACTCCAACAAGCTTCAATAGTTGTTAATGGAGTTTGAATTGATTTGGGGAAGATGGATCTTTATTTTTTTTTTAAAAGAAATCAATTTGAAATGCCACATGACTTTTTTATATTGGTTAGAGGCTGTTTTTTAAACTACTCACGCGCTCTTGCAATGTGAAAACACAACATGTGCAAAAATAAGTGAAAAAGATGTATTAAGTTTGGTTGAAAGTAGTTTAGTGGGGTAATAGGACCTTCACAAAGTTCAAATGTCTTTTTACAAAACAGATCTTACTTTAATGGGGTAATTATGTATTTTCTCTGTAATAAACAATGGTAAGAACTATATAAATAAATATACATAATCCACTTAACTTAGATGAAAAATAATTGAAAAGGAAATAATGCTTCCATATATAGTACATGTGTGAAATGACTAAATAATTGAAAAGAAAAAAATGCTTCCATATATATAGTACATGTGTGAAATGACTGACAACTTGAATTGTCAAAATAATTGGAAGATCGTGGAAGGGAGCCGTTTTGGAAAAGTAAATAGTATAGTTAATGAGGATAACCGTTTTGGAAAAAGGAGCATTTGTGGGTTCGGTTACGATTCATTTAATAATAAGTATAATTTATGTAGAAATAATTAGTAAAAAATGCAAAAAGATGAGAAAAAAAGGAAAATAGAAATGCTGGCTTTTTAGCTATGCCACATCAGCTGGTCAATGATTCTACTTTATAATATATATATATATAAATATATTTGATTTGGTCCTTATTTTATTTTTCATTTGCACCAAAAAATTATTTTAAAAACATTGAAGTTAATCAAATTGAAGTAAAAAAAATCGAATAGAAGAGAGAGAGAGAGAGTAAAGTGATTGGTTGGACGAATCAAATTAATTTGATTCGGTGTTTGATGCAAACTCTTTCAAAACCAAAAACTAAATAATCAAACCAAAGTTTAATAAAACCGAATCAAAGAATTAACGTCCACCCCTAGTAAAAAAACCAAATAAATATATAGTAATATATTTATGATTACTGTATGTATATCCACCAGGGCTGTAATTTTTTTATCATCTAATCATTAAATGTGTATTTTTGATAATTTTTATACTATAAGTATATAGAATTTAAATTCCAATCCTCTTGTGATATGACATAATTTTAATTTTTTTGTTTGGGGTTGCTTGATGCAATTCACATCCAATCTTATATCGTAACAAGTTCTTGAATTAATTTCATATGATCCATAAAATGCAACAATTCTTCATGATTTCATGGGATACGATCATGAAAAACCTAATTTCTTTACCATTTTTCGGCGAGGGAGGGAGAGAGGGGTTCATTGAATGTTCAATATCACATAAACTTAGAACTTTAGTTAAAGGAGACGCAATCTCATCTATGACATCATATTCTTAAATGATCTTAACCACTTACATGCCTAGAATTTCACATGCAAGAGTCATGCTCATCCATTTTGTTACTTCTACTAATTAATTAAAAGCATATAAACTTTCATTTTTAGATATGCTTTTGTTGCAAAGATTAATTAAAGTCGAGTAGATGTTAATATCAGTACTTAACAGTTATTATTTAAGATTAATTTTGTTTGATATCCAAATTTAATACTGTTTTCTATGAACCTAGAAGCTAAAAGAAAGACTAGAACAACACTTCACCATTAGTATGCATTTGTCGAAATTTTATCTCATCTTCTCCCTTATTTCAATACCGCTCAAAAAGTTTAAAATAAATAATTATTGAGAAAAACAATAATTATAGTGTTATCACACCATTGACAAAGCCAACACAAAATTAAGAGAGTAGGTGTTGATCCCAATTTAAATTGGCACTTGAGAAACCCGTCCCACATACTTGATTTATAAACTAAATAACGAAATTCAATAAGAAAAACAAGCATATCATAGTGTTATCACACCATTGACAAAGCCAACACAAAATTAAGAGAGTAGGTGATGATCCCAATTTAAATTGGCTTCTTGAGACACCCGTCCCACTGACTTGATTTATAAACTAAATAACGAAATTCTATTAATTTTCATTTTTTCACAAAGTCTTTTGCTTGTATTGATTCAACCATATTTTTCCAAAATTAAATTGGTAAATTATACTCTATTTCCTCATCACAATCTGAGATTTTCATTTCTTCAATAAAAAAAATAAACAAATAAATAAATAAATATAAACAGAAAGTATTTATTTATATAAGTTTTTTTTTACTGTTCAACTTTTTACAGAAACTGTTCTTAAAATCAGAAGGAACATTCATATTATAGTATCTTTGAGTTCTTGATTAAATTTACATTTTCATCTTTTGCGTCTTCATAGATCTTCTAAATTTCTACTATTTCTTTTGATTCTGCCTCAAAGTGCAAATCTTTATACTGGGTTTTGAATCTTTTTTCCATTTTGAATTCTAGGGTTAAATTTTTCCCAATGCCCTTCTTGATTCTGGTTTAAAAGTCAAAACTTTATAATGGGTGTTGAATAATATTTCCCATTTTGAATAATAATACAAGATTCTTGAATATGGAGAAATGGGTATGTTTGTAATGTTGTAAAGTTGTGATTTTTAGAATGAATTGTTGGCAATGAGGAGTGAAGAAGAGGAGGAGGGAAAACATGGAGAGTGTGGTACAAGTGAAGAGTGAAAGGGTACAACAATCTATACAAGGGGTAGTGCTTCAGAGGACTAGGTTGAAACTGTGGTTTATTCCTGTTTTTGCTAGCATTTTGGTATGGGCCTGTTTGGTTCAGCTTTGGCATATGCGCTTGCTTTCGGGTTTCACTCGTTTAACTAAAGTATCGGTTCGTGTTGATGAGACTATGCATTCAACTACACCTAGTGAGTCTCTATTTGACAGAATCTTGAATTTTGATGTTGTTATGTGATTCTCAACAAGTTTGTCTTTTATTTGTTATGTGATTACTTTTGAGTAAATTCACTTTTATTTGTTTTGTATCAATAAAGTCACTTTTGTTTGTTTCGTATCAATAAAGTCACTTTCGCTTAACTAGTCATTTGCCTGAATTGTTATGTGATTCTCAATAAGTTTGTCTTATTTGGTTACTTTGAGTAAATTCACTTTTATTTGTTTTGTAGCAATTAAGTCACTTTTGTTTGTTTCGTATCAATAAAGTCACTTTTGTTTGTTTTGTAATAATAGTCACTTAACTAGTCATTTGTTTCTCCAAAAGTTAGATTAATGACCGGAAAGTTGTCATTAATAATGTACTCTTTTTTAAAACCACGGAAAGCTTACTCTTTCATTGCACTTAATAGATAATTGTATCCATTCTGGCTCTATTTAACAATAGATAATCTTCAAAATGTATCAAATTAACCAGCATATTTTCCCACTTGAACAAAATTACAAGACTAGCAGAAAAATGAACTTTATCTTCCTATTTTCTTAGAAAGACATACATGTATGTGTGTTCTGCATACATAACGTATGTATGCCAATAAGAGAGCATTAAGGCCTGAAGGGGGAATTGGGATCAAGGGCATTAGCAATGGCATCAGTAAAAGGCTCCCAATCTTGAGTTAACGTGTTGTCAGCAACTTTACTGTCGAGTTAGTTAATGAAGTACGAAAAAGAGTAATTTTGCCGGTGGTTTTATAAAGAAAATTTATTAATGGTAGTTTTTCACTGATTTTATTGGAATTTTCCGACGTGATCGTTTTTTAGAGAAACAAATGAATGATTAAGTGACTTTGTTGATACAAAACAAAGAAAAATGTCTTTAATAGATAAATTCATTAAGTTTAGTGTACATTTGAGAAATGGACCCTGATTACTTCATATAGCTGACATCAATTGAATGGTCGATATGTAAATTTATTGGTGGATTATCATGGAAGGCGTTTAAATGTTTGTTACATAGTCGTTAGGGGGACAAGGGATTCACTTGAGCTTGTGGATAGTTTCATAGTAGTGAGATTCCAGGAGAAGACAAGCTTAAAAATTGTTGTTCTTGTAAAATGAATGTGAAAGATTGCTGATTTTGTTGTTTACCCAAGAAAAAAGAAGGGAAGAAAAAAGTTTCTGTTTTAGTTTGGGCTGCGTTTTGTGTGCTAAATTAGACACTTGATATTGATGACTTTAGTTCCCAAGTACAGTGAAGAATGAAATGGAAAGAAATTAAAACAGTTGGTTCTCCTAGTGTAGCTTTTTCGCACTTGATGATATGAAAACAAAACCCTTATAGCTCGGGAATACAAGAAAGCATATTGTTTTAGATGTGGTGGTTTGTATGTGATTTCAAATGTCTTCTTTTTGTGCCAATTGGCTCAACAGTATTCTGCTACACTTATACTTCATAAAAAAACAGTATTCTGCTACACAACACTTTATGGTTTGCTTCAGACAAATACACTTGTTTTTCCTTATTTCAGGTGCCATGTCCATCCCGTGATTGTAACTGTAATAGTCTTTAAAATGAAGCATCAACTCTAGTAATTTTAAAAAGTTAAATAGTCCATATACTCATAGAATTTTTGCTTAGTAGGTTGAAGAACAAGTCAACGGATTAATAGGGAGTCAGCCGATAATCAGTGCCATATTGATGAAAACAAAAAAAGGCGCTATGCCCCAAAGGGGAAGGGAGTCATGTGGGTGGAGGGAAATGTACTAACCCTAAACAACTTACTTTTACAATAAACTATTCTAAGGGGATGTCTGGCACTGTGTGTTAACAATCCTGCATGTTCAAGAGAACATCCTCCTTGACAGTACAAAGAGAATTGGTATTGTTAGTAATGTTTGTTCATCCATTGCTCAAGCCCATAATTTGACTATAATTTCATTGCTTATAATGCAAGGGAGCAAATGTTGTGTAATGTTGGAGAAAAGAGGTAACTTGATTACCAACCAGTTACAATGTTGTTTTATACACATATTCCTTATTTTAGTATAATCCAATTTGCCCCAATTATAAATGTATGTTTCAGTTCGTGTTTTGTATATTATTTGATCTTCATAATTATCCCCACATTTTTAAATAGCCTTAGCTACCATGACTCGATGTATATCAAATAACGTTTTGAATATCATCCTCATTCCTCTGAGTTAGAAATAACCAGGGATGGAAAACGGTGCGGTGCGGTTGCAGGGAAAACCTGCGAAGAGTTCTACCCGCCTCACATAGCATAATTTGCTATTTTCAACCCACCGCCCTGTCCCACATAAACCCACCCTGCATAAACCCGCCCTGCATAATTGGCTGTTCCTTTTTTAAAAAGAAAGCCTTTATGGAATGAATTTGATAATTTATACTATCAAAGAAAAGCATCATTGATGCATGATACATTATTCCTTGTCAATCCAAATTATGATGTACCTGTGAGAGGCAACCATGTAATCTACTACATACTAGTGATAAGCTGTACTTGCATACTTTTGTAAGAATTCATTTTTTTTTCTTTTTCCCTTCTTGGGTAGTTTTAGGATAGTGAATTCTGTGTAGTTTGTGTAAATACATTGTTCTTGTTCCTATTAAAAAATTGTAAAATAATGAAACAATAGAATGGTGTAAGAACAGAAAATAGTCAGTTGTTACACGAAGACTGGTACTTGAATTTGACAGCTGATGAACTTCATATACTCTCCGCAGATATCTGATGAATATACATATGCTCCATTTCGTCTAATCTTATTTCATCTAGTTTTGTTTTGTCTACTTCAGTTATTCATTATAAGAGTTTCTTTAAATCCACTTTAGTGTTTCAGGTTTAGCTTAAAAGAGTTTTATCCCAAACCCCTGACCTGCGTGATTTTTTTAAAAAAATATTAGAAACCGCCCATACCCGCAAAAGCTCTAACCTGCACTGCCCCCAAATGCTGTAACCCGCCCCACCCTGCACCATTGCCAACCCTAAAGGTAACTGCTAGGAGTGGGAACTTCTTGATAGTGTTATTCAGTTGTTCAGCTACCTAGAAGGTAACAAATGGAGAGAGAGGGACGAAGGCTTGCAAAGGGATTTGCACAATTTAATCAAGAGACAAAGCTCTCGCGAATGATAAGCAAAAGTGGCCATGACAAATGATTTGGAAAACTAAGGTTCCCCAAGGATCTCGTCTCAATAAATTGCATGCTTTACACAAGATAATCCTTTATTAGAAGGGGTTAGATACAATGTGTAACAGATGTTTTATTTTGAAAAGAGCTGGAGGTTGTCTATAATTTATCTTGTGTCTGTACAATTGCAACGAAGATATGGAAATGTTTCTCAACCTCTTTGAAGTTAAGTGGGTGATACTAGGACTTGAAATTAAATCCTCTGAAGCTGGAAAGGGAGGAAAATTTAAAAAAAATTAGCATGCCATGCGGTTGTGCATCATCCTGATTATTTGTAGAGTGAGGGGAATGACAGTTGTTCTGAAGGATGTAGAGAACATGTGTAGGATCAAAATTAGTCCAGTCTATATTATCCGTCTTGAAATGATATAGAAAACATTTTAGATTTTATTAGCTCCCTGCTTATCTAGTAAGAATCTACCTTTTTACATTTTCAAACTATTTGTAATCAGCCCTCTCTTTAGTGCAAGGCATTAATTAAAATAACAATGCCTTTCTTAAATCCCTCAGTAGTATTCATTTTTACCACCTTCTTTTCTGATGTAAAATACGAATACCACAATTAAAAAAATCGATTGGAATGTGTGAAAAAGCCTCATACCATTCCACCTTTCCACAAGGGTAAATATCTTATCTTGCTATTGCAGAAGTATACACGTATTTTCTCTGAAGTTCTTATTGAGTCAACTGATGCTGTCAGATGAAATATTCTCAACCTCAAGGAGATGGAATGGGAAATGCTTTCTAGAATAATTGTATAAAAAAAGAAATGCTTTCTAGATGAGAAATGCATTAGTAGTTATATTAAATGAATATGAAGAAGTGTATTATCTTAATCAGTTTTATTTTGCTACTGCACCAACAGACCATGTTTTCATGAAAATGCTACTATTCATCTTATAAGTGTAGCATTTATGAAAAGAGGAAACCTTTGAATCCTTCTTTGCAAATCCAAACTCTGCTTCTGCTATACATTACAATGAGTAGGAACTATACAAAACTTTGAGTCATAACTCCATTAATTTCCATACCATGCAGGAAATTATACAAGTAATGGGTTTCTTCAAGTGTCCTGCAATGGTGGTTTGAACCAAATGCGTGCCGCGGTAGGTCTTTTTCCTGCTTTCTCTTTGTATATCAATTTTCTCTTTTTGGCATTGAGGAAGTTGGAAATTGTACAAGTGCATTCAAATTGAATTAGACCCACAAAATTTGGATACAAACTCCTAACCTGATAGATTCAGCCAATTTGAATGTAGATTTGTGACATGGTGACTGTTGCACGACTTTTAAATTTAACGCTGGTTGTCCCAGAGCTTGATAAATCATCATTCTGGGCAGATCCTAGGTAATTATGGTGTTATGTAACTGCTGTTTCTTTGTCCTGTTGCTTAGTGATTTATAATAACTGCAGCATATCTTGGCAGCGATTTTGAGGATATTTTTGACGTGAGACACTTCATTGATTCATTAAGAGATGAAGTCAACATAATAAAGAGACTGCCAAAGAAGGTTGCCAGGAGCTATGGAAACCATCCAATAGTAATGCCTCCTGTTAGCTGGTCAAGTGAAAAGTACTACCTGCAACAGGTTGGTCTATTTGTTCTGCAGTTCGTTATATCATATAATTTGTTAACTGGTAGATGCATGATTGACCTGACCGAACTAGTTGTTCTTCATGGTTGTGCAACAATATTATTTGTCATCATTTGGAAGACCAAGGGTGTTTGGCTAAGCTTACAAGCTGGTTAAACTGATTTATAAGGAATTTTTGGCTTGTATATGCGTTTGGTAAATACCTAAGTGCTTATAAGCCAAAATTAATCATAAACTGTAAGATGGTCATCCCCAACTTATGGCTTTTCAACTTATAAGCACTCTTAGTTTGACCAAGTTTTTTTACTATTTTATCCTTAGTATTTTTTCTAATTGTCAAAATACCTTTCCCAAAACAAAACCTAGGACTTCCTCTTCACCCCATATCTATCGTTTCTCTTCTTTGCAAAGATACATTTAAATTTTTAATTATCGGTAAAAATTTAAGGGCATTTTAGTCATTTTAACAAAAGACTAGCTTATCAGCATTTTTTTCCAAGTATATTGACTACTTATTTTCTGTTTCATCACTTCTAGCACGTAACTGTAACTGCTTACTTATCAAAATTCACCTAAAACTTATCAGCTAAGCCAAGCAGGCTCCTATACAAGTACTTTCACTTCACAAGTCTTGACTAAGTAATGTTGTTGCTATGTGTACATTCATATACTACTTAGACATGTAATCAGTATGTAGTCGAATAATGATTTAGTAGTCATTAAATATTAGTAGCCTTGATTACTGATTATTCCTTCTGTCACACACTGAACATTTACATGTTATTTAACAGTAGAAGATCCTACTCTAATGCGTTTTATATGTATTAACAGATTCTGCCTCTCTTCAGCAAGCATCAGGTTATAAACTTCAACAGGACAGATACTAGGCTAGCAAATAATGGGATCCCTCTTGAGCTTCAGAGACTTAGATGTAAGGTCAATTTTCACGCTCTGAAATTCACACAAAAGATTGAGGCATTGGGACAAAAGTTAGTCCATATGCTTCAGCAGAGAGGACCATTTGTAGCATTGCATTTACGGTATGAGATGGATATGTTGGCTTTCTCTGGTTGTACTGAAGGCTGCACAGAGGAGGAAGCAGAGGAGCTCAAACAGTTAAGGTGATTACCAATTGAAGTAACATTGTATTTACATTACGCTCATGTATCTTTGCTTAGGATAGTAACGTTTATATAGGTATAATAGTTGAATTTAGAGTTAGTAGATGATGATGTTCAAGTAACATCATTTATTTGGTCATGCTCAAGTCATGATCAGATTAGTAAAATCTGGCACCACAAAGATTGTCTAAAGAATAGGTGTTTCCTCTCTTACATAGTTAGGTCCATTGGCTTTTATCTTTCTTTTCATTTTGGATAAACTAATGATTATCTAATTTGAAACTCCATAAAAAGTGATATGACATAGACAAGGGACACTACAAGAGTGCCAAAATCAGTTTGGACTTATTCCTGTTAGATCTACACCATCCGTTATGGCTATACTCTTGCAAAGAACATTGATGGAAATTTATCATCAGAAGAATAAAAATTTACACAGGTGACCTAGAGAAAGTGTATGATAGAGTGCCAAGAAAGAGTCCTTTGATGGGTATTTTGTGAGCATTGAAGATGAAAAGAATTCATACTAAATATATAAATGCCATAAAGGAATATGTATGAATGAATTGTTAGTGGTGTGAGAGCAGTAGTATTAGATGCAAAGTTATTTCTCATAACCGTGGGTTTACACTAGGGATTGACATTGACTACATACCTTTTTATCTTGGTCATGGATGAGCTAACTAGCATTATATTGGAGGTCCCTTGGTGTATGCTATTTGCAGTTGATATTATGGTTATTGACAAAACTAGTGAATGTGTCAACCAAAAGCTTGAACTATAGAGAAGTACTTTGAGAGAGTAAGGGGTCATTTGTTCATAAGGTAGGTTATTCCAGTATTAAGTTTGAGATTAAATTTATACTTTGTTTGGTTGAAGGTATATTTCAAACTTAGTCTTCGATATCGCACCTTTCTCCGTCGAACTTGGTGTTATTTTATCCTACCTCCCAGGTGGGATAAATTAGTCCAAGGATTATAATCCTAGGACTATAATTTCGAGATAACTTAGTATGTGAACCAAACTAACCCTGATGAGTCGTTTGGTTTGAATACAAGTTATGATGGGATTATTAATGATGAGTTAAGTTATGCTGGGATTAGTTACGATGGGATAGGTTATGTTGAGATTATTTCTTATTGAGTGTTTGATTTGTTGTATTCAAAATAATATGCATTGCATAAATTTTTAAGAACAAGTTATTTGTTTACGAAAATGCCCTTCATGAGTGTGAAAAAAGTAATGTATAAAAAGGGTTTAAAGGAATATCTTTGTCATTTGTCTATTTTATCCTGGGATAAGTTATCCTAGGCTTACTATACCACCCAAGGGAGGGATAACTTATCCCGGTACTAATTATTAATCCCGGACTTGCCAAAGAAACAACAAATTAAGTGGCACTATAATTTGATCTCAGGACTATTTGGTGTTATCCTTTACACCAAACCACCCCTGAGGGTTTTAAGATAAGTTGAGGTAAAAATGAATGTGAAACTGCAGGATTCTTGCATAAAAAGAGTGAAATTGAGGTGAGATTAGGTGGGATTGCATACTTAATCACAAACAATTCAAATACGGAGTTTGATGTTAATGAGATTTGGTATCATAGGTGAAGATGTTACAAACACATTCAAAATAGTTTGGTTGAAATATGAAGTGTAATCGTTATGTTATATGATATAATGGTACTTATGAAATTATAGGATAAGAGATCAAAAATGTTTTGCCGAGGCTCAAGTAGAAGAAGGGGTACTTGAACAGAGGGTCGTCTCAGTCCATAAAGATCTGTCTTTGAGAATGGTTGTAGGACCATCAGTGTTGCATGGAGCGAATGTTGGGCCTCTAAAATCCACATATATCCATAAGATGTGTGACTATCACAGTAATGAAGTCGTTAAGATGGATGTGCGGACTACATTCAACAGAAGGTGCAAGTAGCACACATAGATGATTATATGAGAGAAAGTAGCTTGAGGTAGTTTATTTATGTCCTAACTCCAACATGGAGCTCCAGATGCTCCGGTTTCGTGAGTGTAGAACCATGATGATTGAAGACATCTTAGCAGGAAATGTGGCTCTTGTTAGCCACCCTTCCTCCTCTACTTTGAGAATTGTGTTAACAAAGAGTGGGAAGAGGTCTCATACGAAATCACACTCTTACTTGAGCAATGTAGGAGACTAGGGAATGGGTCGAATAAACTCCCTCGGGTCGAAACAATAACAGGCGACGACATAATTAGATGATGCTTTGCTTGATATTTTCATCTTAGTGATTGAAAGAGGTGTGTCTGGCTATGTTGTAGAAAGAGAAGACGGAAGCATCGAATGCCAAAGAGGTGGATTGACAAGGAAGGAATGAAAATCGTCAAGGATGCCTTCTTTGGGAGCGGACCTAAGGGATAAATAACAATACTGATTCTCTAAGCTAGTTTGGATTTCCAATGTTTTGAGAAATTGGTCAAGATAGATGGCATCACCTTTTTTTGTTCTTTCTTACCAGTTGACAATCTTTGGGATGAGGGAGACGTAAAATCACATGGAAGTTATCCAAAAAAACCCTATGATCTCTTGGAATTCACTAAACCTAGTAAAAAGTTCTTACCATGAAAGTAAAACTTGTGTCCTGGAATGTAAGGGGACTTAATAGTGGGGATAAAAGAAGATTGGTGAAGAGCTTAATTCTCAACTGGAACGCAGACATAGTCTGTCTACAGGAGTCTAAGCTAGAGGGGGAGTTTAAAGATATGATAAAAGAATTATGGGGTGGAAGATGGGTCAAGTATGCTCATCTTCAAGCTAGTGGCACTAGAGGGGGAATTCTGATGTTATGGGATAGCAGATCATGGAGAGGGGAAGTTCTGGAAATTGGCTCTTACACTCTTACATGTAAATTTGAGGCTCTGTTGCAGGACTATAAGTGTCATATTACAGGAGTATATGCTCCAAATTGCAGATTTGAAAGAGAACATGTATGGGAGGAAATAGGAGCTGTCAGAAGCTTATTTGAGGGACCATGGGCAGTGTGTGGTGACTTCAATGTCACAAGATTTCCAGCTGAGAAGAGAAATTGCAAGAGAAGAACACCAGCAATGATAGATTTTTCAGATTTCATTGAAGACATGGATCTTTTGGATTTACAACTAGAAGGGGGGAGTTTTACCTGGTTCAAAGGAGACAACAATAATGTTGCTTCTAGAATTGATAGGATTCTGATATCTAAGGAGTGGGATGATAGCTTCAGCAAAATTAAACAAGTTGTGTTGCAGAAATTATGCTCAGATCACAATCCAATTGCACTACAATGTGGAGTCTGGGATCACGACAAATCCTATTTCAAGTTCGATAACTGGTGGTTGAATACTGAGGGCTTTGTGGAAAGAGTCAGAGGGTGGTGGGAGTCTTTTGTCTTCGATGGGAAGCCTGATTACATCCTGGGATGTAAATTGTAGACTTTAAAAGGCAAACTGAAGGAGTGGAGCAACACGAGCCTTGGAAATCTAAGAATGCAGAAAGTCCAAATATTAAACGAGTTAGCCATTCTAGATACTGTAATGGAGAATAGGATTTTAACAGAATCAGAGGCAGCTTTGAAGGCAACTCTTCTAATGGATTATGAAGAGCACTTAAAAAATGAAGAGATAGCATGGAGACAAAGATCAAGGGCACTTTGACTACAAGAGGGAGACAGAAATACCAATTTTTTCCACAAAGTGGCCAATGCGCATAAAAGAAGCAATAATATTGACCAACTGATGATTGAAGATGAACCTGTGATGGATCCGGTGAGAATCAGAGAGGAGATTGTTGGGTTCTATCAGAAGTTATATTCAGAAAACACAAGTTGGAGACCTTCAGTTAGCTTGATCAATTGTCCAATGATCAGAGAAGAGGAAAGAGAAGCTTTACAAGGGGAGTTTGAGAACAAGAGGTTTTTTCATGTTTGAAGATGTGTGCAATGGACAAAGTTCCTGGTCCAGATGGCTTCACTATGGGGTTTTACATCAAATGCTGGGATGTAGTAAAAAGGGATATCATGGAAACTTTTAAGAACTTCCATTCTCAAGGTGTCTTTGAGAAAAGTTTCAATGCCACATACATTGCTTTGATTCCAAAGAAGAATGGAGCTAAGGCACTGAGAGATTTCAGACCTATCAGTTTCATAGGTAGTGTCTACAAGCTTCTTTCCAAGGTGTTGATGGAAAGATTGAAGAGAGTTATTGATAAGTTGGTAGATGTCCAACAGATGGCTTTCATAAAAAACAGACAAATAATAGATGATATCCTAATTGCAAATGAGGTGGTAGATTCCAGAATTAATCAAGGAAAGGCAGGAATTTTGTGCAAATTGGATATCGAGAAGGCATATGACCATGTAAACTGGGAATTTTTGCTAAAAATGCTCTCATGTATGGGTTTTGGAAGGAAGTGGGTTCACTGGGTCAGATATTGCACCTCCACTGTAAGATTCTCGATTCTTATCAATGGATCACCTGAAGGTTTTTTCCCTGCAAACAGGGGTTTGAGGCAGGGTGATCCTTTGTCTCCTTTTCTCTTTATCATAGCCATGAAGGATCTAAATTACATGATAAAGGTGGCTAGGAATAATGAATGTCTAAGAGGGTTTGAGGTAGTCACAAACCAAAACCCAAGTTTAACTGCCAACATGGAAGGCACACATCAACAGTATGCTGATGATACCTTAATCTTCTGTGATGCTGAGGAAGGGCAGTTACTGATCCTGAGATCAATTTTAGTGCTTTTTGAGGGAGTTTCTGGACTTCATATCAACTGGAGGAAAAGCCAGCTATTCCCAATCAATGAAGTCCCTAAAATGTTGGTTTTGTCTGGAATTCTGGGAAGGGACCTTGCCTACTATGTACCTAGGTATGCCTCTAGGTGCCAAGTCAAAGGCCATGAGCATTTGGAACTCGGTGATTGAAAAGTGTGAGAAAAAGTTACCTAGATGGAAATCTCAGTACATCTCCTTAGGCGGCAGAGTCACTCTCATCAATTCTGTTTTGGATGCTCTCCCAACCTATATGATGTCTATCTTTCCCATCCCTGATGGAGTGATAGAAAGTTTAGACAAGATTAGGAGAGATTTTCTTTGGAAAGGGAGTGAGGAAAATGTCTCTACTGTTCGACACTTGGTCAAATGGAACGAGGTTCTTTGGGGAAAGAAGCAAGGGGGCTTAGGAGTAAGAAATCTGAAAATACAAAGCAAGGCACTTAGACTGAAGTGGTTATGGAGATACTCACAAGAGCCTCAAGCATACTGGGGCAAAGTAATTAAAGCTAAATATGGAGATGAGAACAAATGGATGACAAATGAGGTATCTACACCCTATGGTGTAAGTCTATGGAGGTCTTTCAGAATCCTTTGGCCTATTTTGAGAAATAACACTACTGTGAGGGTAGGCAATGGAAGTAAGACCTCATTCTGGGAGGACAAATGGCTGGGACATGCTAGTTTAAAAAATCTTTTTCCTGAACTGTATGTTTTGGCAGTACATCAACAAATGAGTGTAGCTGACAGTTGGACACAACAAGGATGGAACATCCATTTTAGAAGGAATTTTAATGACTGGGAAATTGAAACAGTGACAGAATTTTTCAGAGCTCTGGCAGAGTTCAAAGGGACAAAGAATGAAGTTGATAGATTATGGTGGAACAAAGACAGCAAAGGCATGTATAAGGTGAACTTAGCATACAAGTTTTTGAACAAAGGTGGCCAACAACCACCAAATTGGCCATGGAAACAGATCTGGAAAACAAAAACCCCTTTCAAGGTGGCATGTTTTACTTGGTTACTAGCAAGAGAAGCAGTCCTGACACAAGAAAATCTCAAGAAGAGGAAGTTCTCTATGTGCTTGAGATGCTATTTGTGTGGAGAAGAGGTTGAGACAGTTGGCCATTTATTTTTACAGTGCAGGATAACAAACCAACTTTGGAGGATTTTTATCAGCCTCAGGGGTGTTGTTTGGACTATGCCTAACAGAATCACCCACCTTCTCTACAGTTGGGAAGAGGTAGGTGGGGGAGCTTCAAACAGAGATAGATGGAAGATTGTCCCAGCCTGTATCTGGTGGACAGTTTGGAGAGAGAGAAATGCTAGATGTTTTGAGAGCAAAAGTTGTGATCTTCAGAAGATCGAAGATCAAATTGAACTGTATCAAACATTTTTGTTTCTGGTGTAAACAGATGTACTTAGAGGATACTGAGTCAATTATTGAGATCCTTTGCTCTATTTAGAATTTAGATTCAGATATATGTTTTGTTGATAAGTTGTAATTATGGTTTTCAGTGCAACCCATGTACTAGTTTTTGTCAATACATACGAATGTTACCTTTCTCAAAAAACAAAAGTAGGTCTTAACGGAAGGAAAAAATAATCTATATGGATGATACCTATTAGTTGGGATTAAGTTTTAGTCAGGATCCAAGAATCTGACCTAATGGTCAATAAAGTGTGTTTTCCTTAGAGACCAGTACCAGATACAAGAAACACTATATGACTTTTTCCACTTGCTTATGTCTTTGATGGCGGAGTTACCCGATACCTGTGTTGGGAAGTTTAATAGGTACTCGACATAATAGTTGAGTTGCGCAAACTGGTGCATACACCACCATAATTAAAAATGAGGTTTTAGTCTTATTAGTATGTTACTTAGGGTCCAATGTTTGATAGGAGTTTCTTAGTCTCATTGATCATTTATACGCGAGTGGAAAATGTGGAGGACTTATAATGTTTGAGAAACTAAGTTTTTATATAATGCACGGAAAAAGCTTAATTGGAGTGACATGGGTAGTGAGGATGAGATTGTCGACCTCAACTTACTTAGGATTAGGGTGTAGTGTTGTTGTTAATGTTGTAATGGTAATTTAATTTTTGGCTCCTCATATAAACTCCAAGTTACGACGTTTATCTAGATAGTTCCTTGTCACACATTAATTTAGAATGACTTCCATGCCCAGTAATCCCTATCGTGCATTTATATGATGATACTTGATAATATATGTGACATTGAAGAATAACTTTTTGATTTTTGTTATGTTCTTTTAAGATCCCTTTGATAGAGGATGTCGAATAATGGCTAACCCAACTCCCCTAACCTAGGCAAAAGTAAAGGAAAACATCAAGAGATAGCCTCCAAAGTTCTCTCGAAAACACACACAAGTGGTAAGACACCAAAAAGTTTCTTTAGTGCAAGAATATGTCTAGTATCAATATTTGATCTTATTTTTCAGTTTATTTTTTTTACTTTTGTAACTATTTACATGGACCGATCACCTAGAATTTCACCATGGTGATAGTTGTAGACTAGTAAAGTTGATTATGAGTAGTGTGCGATGACTAACCGATCACCTAGAATTTCACCATAATGATAGTTGTAGACTAGTAAAGTTGATTATGAGCAGTGTGCGATGACTAACTAGTGGTACAAGTTGGTTGCGGACCTAAATTGAAATGCAAACATGAATAACAATAGTTGCTCATAATTTCTATTTTCCCTCCTAATTCGATTTTAAAGTTTCTATATTGTTGAGGAACTTCAAATTTTTATTGGTTATTTCCCCATATACATGATTTTCTTGATTGTACCGTTCTTTGTGTTTGACATTCACACACCCCATTTTAATTTTTTCTACATGGTAAAGTTTTGTTTTACTTTGTTTGCTCAGGTATGCATTTCCATGGTGGAAAGAGAAAGAGATTGTATCTGATGAGAAGAGATCTCAAGGCTTGTGTCCCCTCACACCGGAGGAGGCAACTTTGATTCTACAAGCATTGGGTATTGAAAAGGATATGCAGATTTATATTGCGTCAGGTGATATTTATGGCAGTGAACAAAGACTTGCTACACTAAGAACTGCCTTTCCAAAGATCGTAAGTGTTAATTGTTTTTCTTTTCTTTTTTTGCGGGACTATTAGGAATATAGATCTCAAGATTAAATATATTAGAAAACATTTGTCGCAGTTTACTGTATTATGATAAAAACGACTTTTTATTACTTAGCAACCTAATTGCATGCTCTCATATAATTGGTAATCGTTGGTGAGATGAAAATCAAAATTTTATAACTAAAAATGATTTCTAGCAAATTTTGATAGAAATTGTGCCATCAAAGATTTTTGAAAACTCTATTTGATAAATTGTTCTATAGATTGAAACCTTAGTAACGATAGAGAATTGTGTGTATTAAAGTTAAGTCAGAAAAGTATGATAATTAGAAAAAAATGATACAATTGGCATGCCAATAAAGTTTTGGAAATATGGCAGAGATAGAGTTATAAAACTTTGGAATAAGGGATAGAGTTTATACTTAGAAACATTATCTAGAGTGACTCAATAAAATTAATAGCCTAACATCAAATTTTAATAAGAGGCATATTTTTTTTTCTCCATGTGTTTTGTTTAGATTATAATAGTATTCTTGAAAAACATAAAGTTTTTAACTTTAATAATCTTATTGCTTATAGTTTATATTAGTAAGGATTAATAAGATGTTGGTCATTTGTTTGCAATATAATTTGTTGGATCATATTATATAAAATTTTATTTACTAATGTGAAGATGTGAGTAGTTTAACTCAAAATTCTAAAATAATATCTTCTATAAAGAGTAGACAACTTTCTCTATAACAATTATTTGTCTAAATTTTATATTATTTAAGCAAAAATAAGATCATAAAGTTTATAATTTATTAAAACTTTTGGGCACTCAATTTTTTTGTTGCCTAAAGCAAAGGCTTCATTAGCCTCCCCTTGAGCCACTCCTGGACATCATAATATCCATAAAGACTAATTTTATGAGAAAGTCATGGCAAAACTTTGGAATAGAGAATAGAGTTCAAGACTTAGGGACATGATAATGATGATAAAAAATCAATTTTAATTTGTGCTTAGTAGATCCTTAACGAAGACTAAATTTTGTTAGGATGGTTGATGAATTTTTATACTGAGCAGTAGAAGGATTTTCACATGATAACTATATTCACAAGATTGAATGCATAAAAATATAGATATGAAGATGAGTGTTCAATTACAAAGATAGATTGGGTACGATGAGAGACGATCACATTCAGTAGAGGATGCATGTAACATACATAGAGGATATGATGAGAGAAAGTAGTCTATTTAAAGTTAAATGTTTGGCTAAAGTCTTAAGCTACCCCCTAAACTTGTCCGCATCTTTCATTTTGACGCTAGAACTAGGAGTTGTTTCTATTAGACACTTACAATACTAAAATTGTCCTATTAAATACTTTTTGCTGACATGACATTGTGTGGGTAAAACACCTAAAAGGGGCGCGTGAGAAATAATTATTTGGTCAATTTTTTTCTCTTCCTCTCCATTCTATCTTGCAAATATTTCGTAACCTGACACTACTCTTCTCCTTTCTTTTCTTTTTCTGGCTACCTCATCTCTTCTACCACCACCGTCATTTTTCTTAAAATTTACTGCCGTCGCCACCACATCACCTTCTTTGCCGGAAAAAATGGAGTACACGACCACAACTTCTGTCTCTCACACCACTGCGCCACCTTTCGACACTTCTATCTCTCTCCATCTCCCTCCCTCCTTAGATCTTCAAATTCCCACAAATGGAATTAAAAGTAGGTTTATGTAAATGATTAAGACCTCAAAAACAACGATGTTTCTTCCCCATATGGAGTTCGGACCCAAAGGCAATCATTAAGTGACTTGTATGTGTCTTCTTGTTCCATCATCTGGTTGATGTTCTTCATGTAGCATTCAGATCGAATGATCATGTCAGTAATGCGGGAGACGTATCTATTTTCTCCTCGGGTATCTTTAGAATTCCAACTGCTTAACTTTCAATTCGCCTCTTACCATCAAATGAAATGAGAATAGCATTCATCCCAAAAAACTAGATCTAAAACAAAAGAGACAGACTTGAATGGGGAATGGGGAAGAAGACGTAAGGGGGAGAATACAGTCGAAATTGTGGATGAAGGTGGCGGTAGATGGAGAGAGCAGTGGTGGCTGCTTAGTTAGGTTTAAGTCTAAATTCTTTTTCTTTAAAAAATAAATAAATCATAATTCATTTTTAATAATTAATTTGGGCATAAATTTCATGTCCCTGATAATTGGTCACTTTGCCATCTCTTCCACGAGTGTATTTTGGCTGGTTATCGTAATAGTGTCTGATAGGATTATTTTTTGAATAGTGTAAGTGTATAATGAGAACAAGCCCAAGTTCTAGTGTCAAAATGAAAGATGAGGACAAGTTCAAGGGGCCACTTATGACTTTAGCCTAAATGCTTTCACCAATAAGAAAAAGAGAAAATAGTTTGAGATGATTAGACTATGTTCTACATAAACCCTCCAATGTACTCGTTTGTGTAGATTAAAAGTGGTAAGTGGAGACAAGGTAGATATAAAATTGTATGAAAGGAAGTTGTCATTAAAAGGTCTATTACATCTCAAAATCAATGCGAATTAGAATATCCATATAAATGATATACCACATGGCTTTGATTCAATGACAAAGACCCAAGAAGTGATGTGTGGGTAACCTATGTGCCCACAAGAGTTGGCAACAAGCCCATAAGCGATATGAATTAGTCAGGATTAAGGATTAGCATTGTTACATAGCATTGGGGCGACATGGATGAAATGGACTTTATATGGGAAACTAAACTCCAAGTCAAGGACTTTATATGCAAAATGGTATAAATATAATTATTTGATTTACTACCGGGTTATCGGTTAACCCGTTAAGAAAAAATATCAAACCCCAATGAGTCTCATTACTGATAAACCAATAACTTTTTTTTGGTTCGGGTTACCGGTTTCGGTTTTGAAAAACCCTAGTTCGCGGAGGGGTAGGTCGAAAAGATATTGGAGAGAGGTGATTAGACAAGATACGACGCAATTTCATATTATCGAGGATATAACTTTAGATAGGAAGGAATGGAGGTTGCATATTAGGGTAGAAGGTTAGTAGGGATAGAGTGTTGTCTTGCCTTGTAGGACTAGTCGTACCGTTTTAGTTCTTGCTAAATGTTGTTTGTTGTATTTCGATTATCACTCTAAGTTGTTATTATTGCTTTTCTTTTCTTATTGACCGTATGTTTTCTTCTTTCTCTTACTTGGGTTTGATGCCTCTCTACTTCCACGAGGTAGTGGTAAGGTTTGCGTACAGTCTACCTTCCCCAGACCCAACTTTGTGGGATTTCACTGGGTATGTTGTTGTATTGTTACACTTACAGTAGGCCTGATGTTTGTCAAGAATCTTTTATTTTGATAAAAGACTTGTATATTGGTGTAGGGAATAGAACCCAAGGGTGTGGCCTAGTGGTCAATGAAATGAGTTGAGAATCATCATGTTTCAGGTTCAGGTACCAGTGGAGGCGAAAAACACTAGATGTTTTCTTCTCGTTTATCCAAGCATCGGTGGATAGAGTTACTCGGTACCTATGTTGATGGGATGTAGCAGGTGCTGCAAGCTAATCTAGACACCACGGTCATCGAAATAAAAAATATTGGTGTAGGAGTATTTTGGATGAATGGAAATGAATTACAGAGAATCCTTATAACCGACCAAGCTATTTTGGGGTTGACGGATAGTTGATTGCTTGCTTGATTTGTAGGTTTATTGTTCTGAATTTCACGCACTGTGTTTAATGCTGCAAACTCCAACTTGGCTAATTCACATACAATACTGTAAACCGTTAGCTGATTCTATCTTCATCGTTTTGACCATTACATCCAATTAATATATCTCCGATTTATGTTTATGTTACAGGTGAAAAAGGAAATGTTGCTCGATCCCGAAGAGTTGCAGCAGTTCCAGAATCATTCATCTCAAATGGCAGCACTGGATTTCATAGTATCAAATGCTAGTAATATATTTATCCCTACTTATGATGGCAACATGGCTAGACTTGTCGAAGGTCATCGTAGGTGCATACGATCTACTATTTCTGTTTATATGTTCCTTATGTGTATCTTGAACGTGTTCCTGAATAGATCTGTTGCAGGTATCATGGTTATAAGAAAACCATCCTATTGGATCGCAAAACTTTGGTAGGGTTATTGGACTTGCATCACAACCGGACCCTTTCATGGGCTGAGTTTTCAGCTGCTGTGCGACAGTCGCACGAGGGAAGAATTGGACAACCAGCTCATCGAAGAGTTATCGAGGACAAACCCAAAGAAGAAGATTACTTTTATGCAAATCCTCACGAGTGTCTGTGTGAGAGTGCAACATGTGAAGGTCTTGATAATTCAACTGAAGTTCGATGAGACATGTCCACCAAGATCATGACTTGCATAGATATTCGGTTCCACAGCCTAATGCACAGGCATTTTTTTATAAAGAAAAAAAAAGCCGAAGGCTTAAATTTTTTCGTTCATGTGTCGAGATTCTTTAGAGAAAGGCAAAAAGTGTGGCCTTTCTTAGTTGCGGGGACATTTAGGAGATGAGTAATTCTTGAGATTCAACATGAGAAGGAAGGAAGGATTGGTGCCATCCGCGCTTCTTCTTACTATTGAAAGTTGTTGAAGCTTTGAAGCTCGTTTTCTTGCATTCCTTTCAATTCTTTCAATTGATTTTGAAACTTTTAGCTATATAAAGTTAGGTGATTTTCTAGTAAATACATTTTATTCTTTGTAAAGGGAAACCCCATGACCTTTGGCTTTGTGTGTTTGCAATTGTCTAGTTTTAGGAATCAATAATCAGTGTTGCAAATGCTACTCAAAACCCCCCAAAAATATGATAAATTAATATAAATAGGTGTCCACCCAAAATGTAGCTAGCAAATTGTTAATATATGTATATATTGGTTTAGATTTTGCCAATTTTTTGGTCTAGTGATCAATTGTATGACTTCCCCCATTGCTAAAAAAATTACTATTTTCCCACTGAAAGACGTCATATTTTGGTGAGAAAATAGTAAATAGTAATGCTTACGTATGGAAAAATTAGGAAGTTTTCCACTATTGCAGTGACCAAGAGATTGTAGTAGAGAAGAAGTGAAATTGGATGCTCTCTTTATTTGGTTTCAATAGTACATTTTGGACCAGTTTTTTTTTTGTTGTTTTGCTCCAATTTTGGTCCCCTTTTTTGCTGCTGTTTTGGACCAGCTTATCTATCGTACAGTTTTTAAGTTGTTTTGCTCCCGTGGGTGTAGTTTATGCCGTTTCTTTATTGTTGCAGTTTTTGTCCAGTTTTTATGTTGTTTATTTGGATGCTGCAATTTTCACGTGGATATTGTTGCAGTTTTGGTCCAGTTTTGCATGGAGCGTTAGTCGAACTCTAAGTCCGTGACATATTGCTCCGATTTTGGTTCTCTTTTTTCTTGTCCGTTCAATTTTGGTATAGAGCTACAAATATTAAATTTGCAATGCCAAAGACAAGTATTAGAAAAAATATGCAACTTTTGAATCTGCAGAAAAAATTGCAGTTACAGTATATGACAGGGAGGAATAAAAACAAATTGAAAAATATTTTTCAATTTTTTTAATGTTTGGTTAGTCAAAATATTTTGGAAAACTGACTCTTGAAAAATGAGGAAAATGACTTCTCTAATAAAAAAAATAGGGAAAACAAGTTTCATAAGTGACATTCTGATCCTTCCCCACCACCCCTGAACCTCCACTCCCTACTCCATTCAGTCCACATAGTGTTTTGCTAGATTATATATTAAAAAAATTTGGTGATATTTTTTTTACTTACTTACTGAACACTAGAAATTAAGTAAAAAGACCATTATTTTCTGATAAAATATTTTCATGAAAAATATTTTGCTCCGTACCAAACACACCCCATGTGATTGCCATTTTTTTCTTCTAAATCTGAAGTGTGAATCATTACTCTCACACAGCCCTGAATGCAGCATCATTATAGGTCACGTTCAATAGCATCATCGAGTAGTTTGCACAAAAAATGACGAAAAGCCCCCTAAAAGTATCATAAAATTCCTCCAAAGCACCTGATTTTTCCTTGTCTTCAAATCCCCATAATTATTTGGGATGCAAAATCCCATTGCACCCCGCCCCAAAGTACCTTTACTAGATCCATCCGTATTGCATTTAAACCAAATCGAGAAAAACCAAACCACCTGTTTGTAGGGATGCCAAATCGTGCGGTAGTAGGACAGACCTATAAAGAGATCCAACCTCTGCATAGCAAAATTTTTATTTTCAACCCGCTCCAGATAAATTTGTCCTACATCATGCCATTTACCTGGATTTCAAGGACTTATTTGTGCTCTCGATATATATTTTAAAGTGGAAATAACTCATTGTCCTATAATAATAATAAAATTATAATCCTCTCATAATTCAGTTGGAATATATAATATTTGCATACAAAAAGTTTATCAAGTTTTCTTTCGAAATTGATAAATATTATTATAAATTCAATTGGAATTTATAGGTCACTTAGGTCATAACGTTTTAAATTTAATATCAAAATGAATACGGACCGATTGGACCCACTTGACAAGTTTAATCTTTAGTTCCACAAACAAGATACATTGAGCTCATAGTATAACCACACCCCTCCTCCACCCTACCCCACATACATACAAGATATATATAAATGGATCCACAATCTTTGGAAAATGGTCACCAACATAAACATGAAATTCAAATTGATAGGGACTGACAACTAACAAGTTAAATAAACTGTCAAATTAAAGGACACTAGACTAGACTAGACCACCAGCTAGTACAATATATTTAATGCCCTAAATCCTTAAGCAATTAATTCTTCTTTAGACTAGTCTAAAGTAGAATTTCCTTAAGTCCTAATTAATGTACTTATCAAACTTATTAATTAGCTATTACAATATATATGACCACTTAATTAATTAAAATACTGATGAACCATCAACAAATGAAGTACAAGATTTTAGTATAGTATTCCAATAATTGTTGTCGTTGTTGTTGTTGTCTTCTTCTTCGCAACTTCCAAGAACATTTTCCAAATGTGTAAACCCTTGAAGAGTATTCAAACTTGGATAATTAGAATATGAAATACCATTAGTATTATTCTCCATGAAACTTCCAGCACCAATCAAACATGAATTGTCGATTAATCCAGCTCCTGAAATATTATTATTATTTGGTACCATAATTAACGATAAATTTGAGGTGGATGTTGGAGAATTATCGAAAAAATTATCTTTGGTAATTTTTGGCATAATTGACCAATTTGCCCCTCCTTGCCATGCTTTTAGCACATCAAGACAAGGTGGTGAGGGTAGTTTTGTTTGAAGGGGTAGTAAAACATTTGTAGTAGTAGTAGTGAAATTATTAGGACCAAAGTGTATATTATTATAATTATTAATGTTGTTGTTATTGTTCAAAATAATTTGTTGTTGTTGTTGCTGTTGTTTTTTGGATTCGCGAACAAGCCGAGCTTCAGCTTCTAGACGAGCCTTTTCCCACTGAGCCATGTGGCTTAGGTTTGCGGAACCAAAGATGTTGGATTTTGGTTTATGAGTATTTGGATCAATGCCCATCTTGGTTAATCTCTTTTTCAAGTGCGTGTTCCAGTAATTCTTAATTTCATTGTCCGTTCTGTTGGCCAAATGAGTCGCTATAGCTGACCACCTATACGATTGAAAATCACAAATCAATATTAGTATATGTTTACTACTTCCTATTAGTGTTAAAATAATGAATTTATATTTTATGCGATAATAGCATAACACAAGTTAAATTGATATGTAAAAAAAATCTTTTAATGTCAACCTATAACTTAGAAAATATAGTAACAACCAATTAGAGTGTGCAAATGATCAAATATCTATTAGTTTATATAACTTAAACTCGATATAAACACTATATAATTATAAGCTCATATATAGTAATAAATTTGTGTCATGAAAGTTATCTGTTACCATATGTTAACATAATAGACCAAAAACATAACGTTGAATGTATTTTTATTATAAATTCTGACTCCGTCACTTTATATAAAAACTTTGAGAAAAAGAGGAAGTATCCAAAGCAAAAGTTTGTAGGGGAAACAACGTTAGACCATTTTTATACATGTACACTTATGTTGAATGAACAGTACAAATTAATTAAGGTACATATTCTGTTGACGTATTGAAAGAATTATAGGTAGTACTTTTTGCTCCATATTATGTTTACTACTATTCAATCCTATATTATTCGGACTCTTTAAAGATATTATCAGATATCTGTCAAATTCTTTAAAAATAGTATATTTTTAAATGATCTGAGACATATAGGACAACATTATTAAAGAATAATTCAACCTTTCAATGGTTGTGCATGAATAGTTGGGTTGTTATCGTAGCCACATATAGTGGAGGATGGTCAATCAGACACCTTTCGTCAAAAAATTATACTCCTTCTGTCTCAATTTATGTGACACTTTTCGTTTTTCGAGAGTCAAATAGTTTAACTTTGATCGGAAATTTGCATATGAAATCTTCAAATTTTTTGAAATGAAATTTATATATTTGTAAACTACGTAAAAAGTACTATAAGTCACAATAATTAATAATTCAAAATGTTAAAAGGATCTATGAAAACTTACGGTCAAAGATAGACTTGTTTGAATCTCAAAATTCGAAAAGTGCCACATAAAATGGAACGGAGGAAATACTATGTATATAAAAAATTGTACAAAATATATAAGTCAAAAAATTATTTTTCATACATATATATTCAATCTTAGACACCCTAAACGAAATTTCTGACGTCATACCTGTTACCAAGAAGGGCATGGAGTTGAATGATTGTTTGTTCTTCTTGCAAACTGAATTTTCCTCTCTTAATATCAGGTCTTAAATAATTTATCCATCTTAATCTGCAACTTTTTCCACACCTCTTAAGTCCTACAATATATAAAATCAAAACTCCATTAATGCAAAATTAAATAACAACTTTTTAAGAATTTAACTTATGTGCACTAAAAAAAATAATATACATATTTTTACACTATACATGCATATGTCATCTGAAAAGATAACTATTAGGTAATTTAACTAACTTTTCATCAGAATTTTTTTTTGACAATCTGAAAAAATAAATATGTTATTGCTATAACATGTTAAAATACACTAATAATATAAAGATTTTTCTAGGCTATCAAAAAAACTCCAAGTTTTAAAATGATATGAACAAATTAAATGGATTGTTAAGTTATAATATTACCAACTTTTAGAGTTTAACTTATATATTCCACAACAAATAGTGTTATATACATTGATCAAATGTGTAGGGATCCACTATATAAATCTTTATTATTCACTTAAATTCAATTCATGTCATAATCATATCAAATAAAAATAAGATAAAGAATAAGTTAAATATATGTTGTAATAATAATAACAATAATATTAGAAGTCCTTTAACAAAACTAATTAATCTATTTCCATTATATTAGATATCATCTATAAAATCCTTTTTTCTTTATTGTCTCATTTCATTCAAAGCTAATTCTGCATTGATTTTCAGAACTTATAGATTTTTCAAGACAACTTCTTTCATGTGATTTTAGGTCTACGACACCCCCTTTTAACACTTTCAATTACCATAGTTTCACACTTACGAATTAACACATCTGTAGTTTGACACTCGACGTCAAACATGATCAAACCATCTCATGTATGCATATATAAGGCAAAAAAGTTCCAAACTAACATATCACTTAAAAGATAACTATTAGTAATCATCGTTGATAAAAAAAAAAAGATAGGATTGATTAAAACCTGAAAAGTAAAACATATTACTAGCTATAACATGTTAAAATTCTTTATACTGTCAATATATATTACGTACCGGCATTAGTTGGCAAAGCACGCCAGCTACCACATCCATTTTTTTCTATGTAATCCATGAGTTTTTGGTCTTCTTCAGGAGTCCATGGCCCTTTCTTCAATCCCACTTTCTCACAACATGGTGATCTTCCCATTTTCTTTTGGCTTACAAAGAGAAAAAAAAAAGTTTTAAAAATATAATATAATGTTTTTTTGTGATTAAGTTGTGTTGTTATTTAGTAGACAGCCAACTTTGATGTATAAATACACCCAAGAAATTAAATGCTAGCAGACAGTATGAACACAGATTTATGATACAATAATAAGTTTTCTAACAAATGGAATAACTGCATTAGGTTCAAACCCAACTCCCTAGCTAACTTAGTATTCTCTACTTCCCTTCCCTTGATGTTACATGGTTTTATTATATCTGTGATAAAGCGGTAAGTACTCTTTATTCTTAATCAAAGATCTTGAGGTCGAGTTCGAGTTTTATTGGTATAGAGTCGTCTTTGTTAGAAAGTGTTTTACCCTTAGTATGAAACTTCCCAGTACGAATCTAAATGTAGACATTTAGTTAGGTTTCAATACGGGTACCGATCAAGAAAGCCTTTGTAAGAGAGCCCTTATACCCTCAATATAGGACTTTTCGACACGATTTTGTATTTAGTCGGGTTCTAATAGTAGGACTTTCCAACATGAATCCGAATTTAGAGGAACCCTAATCCTAATGTAGGTATCAGATACAGAGTGGAAAGTCTTTGTTAGGGAAAGTTTTATTCCCAATGTGGGATTTTCTTATACAAATTCGAATTTAGGCATGCCCTAATATAGCTATAGAACACTGAGTATAAAATGAATAATTTATTAATTTTTTTCTTAAATAGAGAAAAGAGATTTCAATTTATGTATATTCCAGGCTGGCCTATATAAATAGAATTACTCCTCTAGTATTGTTTATTATAACTACTTAACAGTACGAATGACTACTACAAAATTTATTGGATGAAACAAAATAAAGGTTGAGGCACTAAAAACATAAACAAGTTGTCTCACTTTTATGTATTGATTTTTCTCTCTTTTTAGTGTTTTTTCCCTTATTTATAACATAAGAAAAATAATTTCTTTGTGCTTTCAACCAATAGAAAATAAAAAAAAATGGTCTCTTTATGTTTGAGGATACATTTATTTTTGGCTCCTAAGTAGCTTTGGTCATTTAAGTTTGTTGAAAGTGACCATTTTTTTTATGTTTTAGTAAAATATTTAATAAGTTCTAGCTATTAGATATAATGGAAAATATGATTTTTTTAAAATTAAAAACAACACAAAACATATGATTAATAATGTCTTCAAATATTTCTTTTATTCTAGTAAGAAATAATAATTATATGACGCTTACGAAGAAAATAAAAAAATAAGTGAAATAAGTTATGTGTAAAATATTTTATTATGGAAAACTTTTTATTTAAAGGAGTAAAAATCATGACCTACCTCTGCTAATTTTTTCTTAAAGTTTCACTAAGAACTCAAGATTTTATTTTTTACATTATAACTAAATAACCACGTAAACTAACTCTATTTTACCCTTCCTAGTTGAAACTATCTTTTCAAGATTCGATTTAATTTAATAGCATTTACAAAATAATCTATTACTAAACATCTAATAATGTAAAAGGTTATAGAATTTCGAACAAAAAATCAATCTAATAATGTTAAGAATTTGATTTTTATATAATCAAATGATCCTTATTTGAGATATGTTAAGAGTTTGATTTTTATATAATGTTTGTTATGCTTGTCAACCATCAAAATTTTAAATTCAACATAACTCAATAAAGATAACGAAACTCATAAAAGAAGTACTATTAAAAAGAGATACCGAAAATGAACATATATTGATTTGAATTACTTTATTTGAGCTACTAGATATTTGAGAGTTATAATTTTATGAAGATTTATTGTATCGCAAAAATTTATAAAATTCAGACTTAAAATAATATGTTAAGAAACATGCATTATGAATTTTTTTATGAAATACTTTAAAATTCACATTTTTGTGTGTCAGAGATGAGAATTTTTTTTTTTTTGATAACCAAAACATTTAAAGAGATTTGTAAAAAATTTGACGAAATGATCTGAAAGATCCTTATATTTAATTCGAATTGTCAATTGAATTCTTCTATTGACGATTTTACCAACTAAACACATAAATCAAATGAAATACAGTATTTTAAATTTCTTTCTCATCGCATGTAATACAATAAACTATATGTGAAATTCCACATCCTTTTTAAAACATGTCAAAAATTAAATATTAAAAAATAAATAACATACAAAGAAAATCCATTTTCAACCCAAAAAAAAAAAAACCAAACAAGGCCATGTTCACAACTGTTTTATCATTTTGTAAATTCTCAACCAAAAAAAAAATATGAAAAGAATTATTGCCTCAATAATACATTGTACGGACAAACAAAACTGAAAATCTACTTCTTTCTTAATTCTCAATATTCAAAATGGTTAAGTCATACAGAACCACTTAAAGTTGTTTGAATATTTCATTTGAATACCTCAATTAAGATTGATACCTATTGAACACTTTTACTCATTCGAATTTGAATCATTTGAACACTTTTTTGACAACCAGTTAAAAGTGTTATATGTGTAATACACTCGTGATGATGTGACGAATTAACGACAATACATGTGGAATTTTGAGGGAAAAAGGAAAATCTCCTTTAATCAAATTATCGTCGTCCACTCACCGTCATCGTGGTCGTCGTTTTTCTAATTAATTCAACTATTAATTTTTCCAGATCTGATTTTTTTAAAAATATGATACATTTGGGTTTAGCTATTTATTTTTCCGGTGAATAAAGATGATAATGACTACCAAATTTTAAGAAAATGGAGGAGGAAATGTAATGGTGTTCTCCAGATGAAATCGACAATGGTAAGGGAGAGGGAGAGGTGGCTTAAGAATAGAGAGAAGAGAAGGGTAGATGATGGTCGGGGAGGCGGCTAAATGTGTGTATGGCATATTCTTTGCCATGTCAGCGAAAAATGTTTAATAGATATTCATTTTAAATAATAAAAGTGTTCAATAGGTACAAACTTTAATTAAAGTGTTCAAGTGAAATATGCAAATAACTTTAAGGGGCTCCGTATGACTTAAGTCATTCAAAATCAATATAAATATACAAAACATACATCACATCCGTGTGTATATTAGATAATATAGGAATCTGTATTAGTACGAGTTCAAAATATATTATTCTTTTTTATCTCAATTTATATGATATAAATAAAATTTTAAGAGTTAATTAAATATTTTTTTAATCATAATTTTAAAACTAATTTTAATTGTTAATTATTAAGATTTATAATGTTTTTGACGTAATTTACAAACATATAAATTATTCTAAATGTCTTTATTCCCTTTATTTCAATTCATGTTGGAGAGTCAATCAAATTTTCCTTTGATCGTAATTTTTATGTCACGAGTCCAATATATGTTCTCCATCTATCTCAATTTATGTGATACAAATAGAATTTCAAGAGTCAATACAAAATTTCTTTGACCATGATATTTTTTATAAGTTGTTAATTATTATGATTTATAGTATTTTGAAGGTAATTTATAAATATATAAATTATTTGAAACTACTTTTAATTATTGAAAATAATTTTACTCTTTTTATCCTAATTTGTGTGGCACGGATGAAATACGACGAGTCAAATTAAATTTTTATTTGACCATAAATTTTTAATATAGTTTTAAAAAAATATTTTAAATTATCATATTGTAATTTATAATACTTTTTACCTAATTTCTCCCACTATATATATAAAAAAGTTCATTTTAATAGTTTGATATTAAAATGACCAAATAGCCTTTAATGTAATTTCAATTCCACAAAGAACATATGTCGATCATGATACGTATGCTTGTGTGAACACGTATATAACTTGAGAAATGGATTTGAGTGAATTTTTGCATAATTTCTTTTCCTTTTTTTTTATTTTTTATCTTTTCATATTTCTTTACTGATTATATATATATATATATATATAAATGAAAATTACTAAGTCACGCTCTAAATATGCATATACATCACACATTTCTCCTTAGCAATGTTAATGCCATGTAAGTTCGATCAATGGTAAGAATCAGTGGCGGATCCAGGATTTCAGGATTGTGGGTGCTCCCTTAGCTATAGTGGCGGATTGAAAATTTCGATTAAGGAGTGTCAAAATATAAAGAAGTAAAATCGTGTAGAAGCTAAGGAGTGTCTATATATATATATATATTATTTTTAATTGTTTTTACCTAACTACACGTATAATCTTCCGACAAAGAATTGTCGGTCGACACCCCTCGAGTATATTCCGTTATTGCTTAGCTATCAATCACAAATATAAGTGCACAAGTTTAACACTATTAAACTTGTTATGAAAAAGGATAATCATATTTAAGCACGATAATAAAAAAAAATAAAGAAGAAAAATTACAATAAAAACTATCTTGGATAAAAAAAAAATGATAAAAAAAGTTAGAAAAGGCCACTAGCGAAAGAGAAAAGCCAACAATCTGCATGGGAGAAAAAAAAATGAAGTCCAATTAGAATAAATAAGTAAGAGAAGAGCTTATTTTTAAACTAAAAATAATGTCTTTGGAGGGAATCGAACCTCTGGCAAAGAAATAAAAAGAGTGAAAGACCTTGAGCACCCACAATAAACCACCACGCCAATTAAGTCATTGTTCCTATGCATGCTCTCTAATAAAATATATACAATTCTTCTTTCTTTCTATGTAAATATATATAATTCGATACGAGATTAATGGGTGTTCGAGCACCCATGTAGGACCATGTAGGTCTGCCCCTGGTAAGAATTCTTTAAAATATTATACAGTATTGAGTTTAAGTATTTTGTTAGCAAAAGTTTGAGTAGAAGGATTCACTTGATAATCTAAGGGCCCGTTTGATCAAGCGATATGAAATCATAATATGAAATTATGAGTTAAAGTTGAAGTTTTGTTTGGACATGCAATTTTGACTTTTTATGTTATATGTTTTCTCATAAACATAAAAACTTCATAAATTGTAAAACTATTAAAATTGTCTCAATTATTTATACAATCTTACCAAATAAGCAATATAAAATCACATAATACAC